TGCTAATAGCGATCTGCGAGTTTAGTGCAAAAACGCATGATAGCACCGGAGAGCCTGGTGCGTTCCGGCTTGGGTTTATATTCATCCCACTTGTTTGTAGCTGTGTGGCCCGTAGATTGATGAAATTTTAAAATTTGAAGCCGTGCGACTAAATCGAGAAGACATTTTGAAATAAAAACAAATTTTCTATATCCTGAGATCAAACAAGCTCTCCAAATTTGATAATTTGATTAGGGTTCGATTAGCTGTGCTAGTCTCTGAAGGGGCATTCGAGCGAACGGACGGAAAAGCAATAAACGTTTTTTAAACATAAAAGTGGATAAAAACAGAAAAGATTTTTAATTTGTTGAAATTTGAGTGGCATTGCACAAAAATAAATTGTTCGCTTTATATCTGCCCTTCCCCCTTTCCTCTCGCTCCGCCTTCCCAGGCTTCCTTCAAACTACTCCACTTCAACGAATTTCAAAAAATACACGGTTTCAGTGAGTATGACTGCTTTGGTGGCTCATTTAATCCAAATACAAATCGAGCGCAAAAAAATCTAGTCGGAAAATGTTTAGAAACGGGCATATTTTTGAAAACCGTGAGAAAACAAATTACAATAACAGTCACATGCACCAAGAATACTGGTCGAACCAACGGCGTGGGAGTCACATGTCAATGGTGTTACTAGGGTGCCCCGTACGCCGGGCCGAAATATGCTTAAATTAGCTGTGACAGTTATGATTCTTGGTCTGGTTCTTCAGCTATGTAGTCTGCAACTTCTTCGGTTGCTTAAGTTAACGCCACATCAACTGTTGGCAAGTCTGTTGGTGGTCCTGATGTTCGCTTCATCTTTTTAAGGATTCAGCAGTATTCACAGATGCGCCTGACAATAATCGTTTCGAAATGTCATTGGTGTGTATTGAGTACCACCACCACATCCCGAACTTTGGCACTTCTAGACCATTATAAAAAAAAAATTACACATATACAAATTTTGTACAAATGTGGGCCGACACATTGGAAACTGGGTGCGGTAGTCCTCACGGTTTCCTTTCTTGCATAGCAACACTACCTGAACTTTTTTTATCGTACTGTTTTCTTCGTCTCAATTTACTAGGTAAGCTACGTACACAACGCTTTTATTTTTTGGCACCCTCTGGAATGTCATTTGCACAAATTCTATCCAGATTTGTTGTTTTCATAGAATTCATTTTAAATAATGCAGCCCTCGCACTGGAGGTTACAGAAAAATAGAGGGTGTAGATGCATAATGATTGCTGTGTAACGCTAAAATAGACAAAACGCAGATTTTAAAACTAGTTCAGGTTGGGAAATAATGGATACGTGGCGACGTCAGTGTTATTGGGGCCCAACCGGCTGTAAAGATGAAGCACCGGAGAGTCAGGTTAGAAACAGTTTGATATGAATTAAAGAAATTAATACTAGGAATGCTGAAGTCAGCAACCGTAGGACCTTCGAACAGTGTGAGTTGCGCCTGAGGAGGGATCTTGGAGTAAAAAGAAAAGAAAAGCGAAAGTTATGACAAGAATGTTTTCGCGGTACGTCCTATGGAACGCAGTATGCTGAGGCTTCTGCGCGCAAGATATAGAGTGAAATTCCGCAACTCGTGACAAGAGCGACGATCGCATTTGTAATCATCAATAATTTAAGCACCTGACGCTGTAAAATTTATTCAATTTTTTGCGCATATTCGGAGCTGTGTGTTCAAAGTTTCTTACAAAGTAATTTTTTTGCTTTTGTTTATTCGATATTTATTTTGATTTTTGCAGCCCGAATGGTTTTGGTCACTAATTGAATTCGGCGTCCGCATCAAACGCAATGCTCCTTATTTCGGCCTTACTGTTATTTTACCATCCGTAAGATTATTATTGCTTTTTTGGGGCAAAGAAAAGGTCGGCAAGGGACAGGTAGGCCGGCACTTGATGATTCTGGACCCGGACAAAATCAGTAAGGTACTTGCTGTATTGAACAACATCCGTTATAGTTCATCCAGTCACTTTTATTTTTCATTTCAGCTCTTCACAGAACAGTTTGCGCAGTCCTGTGCATTCAAGATGTTTAGTCCCCATCTTTTTTTTCCACATTTCCACCTACGGTCATTTACCATGTTCCATGATTTCCAACCTTACAAATTAGTCACTGTTTTTTTTTTTTCTTTTCTGCATAGTCACTCAAAACGCATAGTGCCCTGCCTGCTGTACAGGAATATTTAACTTTCTTTTGAGATCTGGACTGTGAAGTAAATACTTTAGCCTTACTCTGCACCACGTCTGTACAATTCGCTACGGTTAGTCTTACTTTACACCGGACCCATGCAGTATTCTCATCTGAATTTTGCAGATTTAATGTAGGAATGTAAGATCCGCTCTTTCGCTGTTTGATCTAGTATTGATAGCGTCAAGCATCGAGGACACATTGTGCGTATCTCCATACAGTGGGTTTTTAAATATCTTCAACCTTGTCGTCAACACTCTCAGCGGTAGTCGGAGACTACGCAGAAGTAATAATTGACCAGCGCACGGGGTGCCCGTGCGAAGATACTTTTTTTGCATAGTTCTCCGCAGTTTTTGTCGCCACCGCACCGGTTTTTACGGCAAATGCTTCTAGCTAAGCAAATTAAGACTGGCCACCAGAACTGTCAGGAAACACCCCTTCAAAGTTTCAGCTTTCTAGATTTTCTGGCCCTCAGGTTAGCAACTTACCCGAAAGAAATTTTCACGGGCCCGTGTGTGGGTACCGCCATACCCAGTGTCTGGGTTTGAGCTCATTAATACTTGCGCGGACGGGGAATGTCTCCTTAAAATTTCAGCTTTCCAGCTTTTTTGGTTTCCGATTTAGCAGCTTGCCTGTAAAAAACTTTGGCGGGTCGTACGTGGGTACCAGGTAGGTAAGAGCGCCCATTTTGGGGGTGGGGCCAGTACATGTATGCAGATTAAATTCCCGAAATTTCAACCTCGTAACTTTAGTAGGACTCAAGATGAAAAATCGGTACAGACGAACACATAGACAACTTTTCGTCAATATGCGTTTTCTGCATTGCATAACTGCAATAATTGGCCAACGCACGAGCTGCCCGTGCGAAGATGCGTTTTTTGCAGAGTTCCCCGCAGTTTT